ATCCCTGATATTTCACATCGGCACAATGTTTGTCAAGTTTTTTGAATTCCGACACAGACTCTACTTTGACTACGTGTGATGGCAAGTTGCTTCCTGTATTCAATGTTCTCCGTTCGAAGCAGTGTTGGCGAGCGACTCTCTTCAAATGTGCTGCTCTACAAGCTTGTGCCGGTGTCCTCGTGTGTTGCTTGTTGCGCGCATATGGAGCACCGACCTCAACATGGGGTAATCACCAATATGTAATATCTGATAAATCATGAGGTGAACCCGCAATCGACGATAAGACAGGATATAAAGTCCTAGTCTCTCTAACTGGTCTAAGTAGGGAACAGCTCGTAAAGTGGGGATTAGCCAGTACCCACTCCATCCTCTATATCTCGCCCCAGGTGATTGGACAGTAAGCAGGTCGTATGATTGAGACGAAGAGGCGAGTGGACATCTCTTCGGAGCAAGTGCAGAAGCTGCGTTTGTGTGCCCAAATCATATGAAGTCCGTTTTGGTGAGGCCTATTCGCGTTTTACACGGACTTTGGTTCGCAGCGCCAGAGCACACTTTAAGAAAAAAATACATCAGCGGTACGCCGATACGCACTGCCGACGCTTCGCTGTCGCGCAAACGTTAGCTAAGGATACTGCGAGGGCCGACCTGCCCCTATGCAGACTCGAACCAGCGCCATCAGATTACTAGACAAACTTATTACCCTTAGGCTACAGGCCGACAGTACACTGAGGTATTTCATGAAAGCCGTGGGATGCAACGGTTACCCGACCACAGTGTAGATTCCACGGTGTACACCGTTACCCTGGCTCATGAATAGACACTTGGCCGGGTTTATCGGAAGGTTGACCACTGCAAACCACAGAGAAGCGGTCAAGGTCATGCTGAAGTAGGTCACAGTTATCAGGCACACTGATTGCTCTCCACGCCTTCAAGACATCAGCAAACAACGGAGTATCCGAGGCACATAGTTTATATGGATCAGGAACAAAATGGGCTCCAGTACAGTGCACTGGGACATGTCACTGCTCGATGGACACCAGTTGGTCAGATAGTTGTCGAACTGGACCATCCACTTTCGACCAACAAGGACATTCATGATCCAACGGTGCACTGAGCTGCCAACACCACACACCCTCAGCCTGTGGAGGAGCACCTCAGGATTTACCTTGTCAAAAGTCAATGTAAATAACGTCGACCGAATTCCCCTGGTTTAGTGCTTGCAACCACTCGTGCCTTGTCACGAGCAGATTGGTGATGCACAAGCGACATCTCAAGAAACCATGACGTGTAGGCGTAAAGAGGCTTTCGGATACGATAAGCTGCGTAAGACCATTCTTCACAATCTCAAGTGTTTTAGCCAGAACAACGGTCAGTCAGGTCGGCCGGCAGTTGTCCACTTTGCTCGGATAACCGCCTTTCGGTATTGGCTTTACGACTGAGAAATTCTAGCCGCTCAGTAATGAACCTGTGTACAGCGATCTATTAAACATTTCAGTCACGGAAGGCGAGATGATGGCTGATAATAACTTGAGGATCAGTGTGTGGACTCTAGCAGGCCCGGCAGGCTTGGTTCTGTCAAGACTGGCCAGCAGGTCGCGAACAACTTCAATGCTGCAATGCAAGCTGTGAAGCTCGACAACGGAGGTACGCATCGAACTCGATGGACATCCGGTCACTTGCAAATAAGAAAACGAAGTGCGCCACCAATGCGGACGCACGATTTGTGCTCGATGTTAGGGACTGTCCATCTGGGCCCTTCAACACTGACACTGCCTAGATCGTTTCATGTAAGTAAAAAATCCTCTTGAGAGCCGTTTTTGCTGCGGCCGAAAGCTGCTCTTTAAATTTTCAGCGGATTTATGTTTTCGCGTTGCTTCGGGGATTTCGCTGTACCTTGTACGCCCTATAATCTTCACCAGTCAGACAGCACGAGTTTAGTACATAGCCTACGGCACCGCCGAGCTAGTTCACTACACTCATTGTCGAACCAATGTGGCTTGACTGGACAAACTGCCCGATACTTGAGGAGTGTAAATCAGGCGCATAAGGATTTTAATACCCCTTTTATAACAGACCAACAGGCTTCAACAGATGAATCATTTGATAACGACCAGTCCATTTGGCTCGCGGCTCGAGTGAGACGATTAGAGTCCGCTTTCCAGTAGTTGAAGACCGGCTCTAGCGAAGGAGAATATGGCAGCGGCAGCCCCAGCTGGCTAAGACCATCGAGTGGTCACTCGCTCACAAGAGCATCAAGACCTGAATGTCATGCATACGTTGCTCACGGCTCGTCAATAGCAGGTCTAAGCACGGTGGAGTGGAGCGCGTGGTTATGCGTGTCAATTGGCTGATGTGTTGTGTGGTCCACGTTCAAAACATAATCTCCGCAAACTACCTCTGTACTCCATAATGGCCGAAGAGATATTCAGCCTCAAGCCAATGTAGTCGAGGCAAGCCGAAATCGCCCACGAACAAGAACTGTGGATGACTCATTTGGTTGCGGACATGCGACAACCGGTCCAAACAGGGGCTCAGTGGACTGCGATAGACCCCGCTTGCTGCGTCTGAGATGAATCGAACACTATAACTGCACACAAAGACCGTCGGCGCTTTGGTAGGTGTTGAAAAGTTGTCCACACAAAGAAAGACCTTATGTATAGCAGCACACAACCACGGTTTATTTGATAGTCTATCACAACAAGTACAAGTAGCCGCTTGTTTCTACTTATTTGGTGGTTACGCCAGAGTTTAACCATGTCTCAGAAAGGTCCAATACATCTGGCCGCTGAGAGGTTACGAAGTAGAACAGTTCGCCATATTTGTTCAGCAAACTGCAGACGTTAGAAAAAAGCTACACGCAGACATCGGCAGGAACCGCAGAAAGCTGCTGATCCGGGATCGCGGAAGAATCCGGATAGCTACCCGAAAATTTACTATGCTGAACATTATTTCCCCACCTTCCGTGCGTCGCTTTAATGCAAACACATTAGCAATAATCGTCAACTTTATTTTTTCTCTGTCTGCCGAATCCAAGTAAGCACGCACATGAATCTCCAAACCGTTTTACAGTTCAACAAAGCGGGGTAATATAAATTTAGGCCTGGCTTCTTCAACAAACGTCACCGCCATAGGTCGACATTTGTTCTCAGTTCTTTTCCTGACGTGGGAGATTTAGTAGACACTCAGCTCGCCATTCCATAGGTTGAGAAGTCTAATTCACTAAGGTTAAGGAGGAAACTAAATGTCCACTTTTCTGTAAATGTCGAGAAGCGGGTTGGAGACGAAGGGGGTGACATGTCGTACCTACGCCGGCAGTCGCGTCTATGTCAGATCAAACCGACAACCTGGAAATTACAAGCTGGACACTTGAACCACTCAGAAACCGACCGACGAGCTATGATGAAGTCGGTTCTGTTGTTTCAGACAGTGAACTGTGATGGAGTACTACTGCAGAGGAGGCAATCAAGATCGCAGGCCGCAAATGCATTTGTGCAATGGGAAATCTAAAAGCATTGGTGCATTGGTGTGGAGAAATAATACCGCGTTGGTTGCATGTGAAACGGTCCGCGGAATGCGAAGGGAAATCACTAATTAGTCAACTTTCGAAAAATGCATGGTAGGTGGGGAAGAAGACAGCATGACATGTTGAACACCGCCAGCGTAAGGAGTCTCATGCTAGAGTGAAAGCATTGTACGACCCCGCCTTGCAGTAGATGCCACATCAGGAACTTTGGAAATCCGAAAAGTCGTTCATGCCGGAGAGTGTTGCACTAACTGTAACGGCACAGTGCGAAAGACACGCTTTCTAACACTTCGGAAGTAAGGAAAACGAAAATATTTTCTTAAAATGTAGTGACGTCCGTAAGTGCCGACAGAATTGCACTCGACCCTCAATGACTCTGTGCTACAACAGTCAGTAGAATCATATAAGTGGAAGACTAGGTGATCACGCCCCTGTATGACCATTATACAAAGACAAAAGGAGTAAGTGATGTGTCGACAAATACCGCTCTATCAAATTGCTGAGTTCTGTTAGCAAATGAGCACCCCTGTCTTACTTAACCGGTGTTATTCGGGTGCTAGAGGTAAAAGTGTTCAGAAAACGATGTCGCTTTCGGTCAAACTGCATTGTACTTGATATATCGTCCGTAGTGTTCCAAATGCAGCAGAAATAACATGAATCAACCAAACTGCTGTATTTGCTGTCTGTCGATCCAACTAAATAGGTGCGATATAGGGGAACCCTGAAGGCACCGTGGTTAGTTTACTGTAAGCTCGGTAGCCATGGTCAGAAAATGCAGTCAATTGAATAGTTGCAGTTATGTAGATGCGAAGATGACAAGGTGTGAAGAAAAGTCGGGTGAAGTTGACATTGGCTGAGAACTGGCTTTGACGGCAATCAAGTTAGGAATCACCAACAGTGCAAATAAAAATAGTATGCTGTTTTCACCCGGAGTCAGTGTGCCTTTGTTAAATCAAGGCTGGTGAGGAAGCGATTCAGGGCAAATCAATCCCCTGTCACATCTAGGCCGATCCTTACATCTGATTTGCAGCAGGTGAATCACCACCCAGCAAGTGGGCAACGTAGCATGGATGAGAGGGCACGTGGGCGGCAGTTTAGACGAAGGCCACAGGGCTTCAATAATACATGAAAAAGCACTGTGTGAATGTGACTCTCGATCAAGTGAGATGTTATCGTGTGAGCACATATATTCCTAAAGCATTGGTTAATTTCACTTGTTCTGCTAGTATATTGCTAAATAGCCAAGTTTCGTACAATGTGCACTAATTAATAGATATAAAAGCTGCATAGATCGGTTCCAAGATAGGAAAGTTAATCCCTCAGCTAGGCAGACGCAATCGGCAGTTGCAGCGGAGGTTCGTAAGAAAATTACACAGAATGCCGATAAACTTGGAACCTCATATATGCCAGAGCACGTCTATTGAGGTACATGAAAGTTGAGTATGTGAACAGTCGCCGTTTCCACGGGTGGACGTACTTTGTGAAGAGATTTCGGGGCCCACATCGATTGATATCGGAGTCAAGAGATCTGCGAACCACTGTGGCTTGTCGCCAATTAGTGCAGGAGAACGTTCGCCTGCTTCGATACGCTGGTAAGCATCGTTTTGGGAATATATGCCAGATTCAGCAAAGTACTCCACAGCCTGTGCAATGAACGGAAAATATAAAACGATGAAAATGATGTAAAATATGAACGTGTATCATCAGAAGCATGGCAAGTACTAAAGCAACGAAGGGTTTCATGGGTCAAGCGAGGGATTCCCAACCGCACAGTAGGACAGCGCAGACAGCCTGATGAGCTAATGGGAATAGCACCGAATTAGTCTCTACACCAAAATGACATTGGTAATTGAGAGAAATGAGTAAAAGATAACAATCGGTTGGTCGGAAGGGCATCACTGCCAAAGGACTTTCATACAAACAAAAGCACATTAGACCCAGCAGCAGTTTAGCGACTGTTGTGCCATAGGCCAGCTTAAAGGGTATTACCACTGCACCAAAGATTACACACCTCGAATGGTAGCGAAACGTCTGCAACCAAGTTGCCCAGCTCGGAGAACTCCACAACAACTGAACAAAGCCATATGCAGAACACTAAGAGGAAAATAACGCCCAGTTTTACACGCAGGCACCTTAGTCGGATCCAGGACTGAAACGTCCACGATCATCTTAGTTCACCCGAAAGCGAATGTGCGGAGTGTCAGAAGCGCGTAAGGGGTGCAACGCTTAAGATTTAACATGGTGCTATGGGGTTTCTAGCAACAATGTTGTATACATTGAAGGCAAATACACACTTGGCAATTTATCTTCTTCGTTTCATTTAAGAAAATGAAGGGGAAACACCGAGAACTTCGAGGCGGACGGAAGCAAGACAAACGTGGCTACGTCCCACAAGTTACTCCAATAAGAGAGAATCCGAAAAGATGCTGGTCTCAGTGGATTTTGAGGATAAAATGACAAGAGGATGAAGAGTTGAAGAGCCGAACTGAATGAAATTCATATTTACCTGTGTTTTCGCCAACATACTCGTGAAGAGACAAGGTCTCGGTCGGGATTTCATGAAATTTTCGAATTGGAGGGCTACCACAGGTCGAGGATACAAACGTAATATACGTGTGTGGTCCGAAAGTCCGCCCAGAACATTCTTGCTCAGGAGGAAAAGAATCTGCGAAATAAAAAGCAAGAAGTGTAGTGTTTGGAGAGAAGAGTAGGAGATTCGGAAAGGTGTACCAAGAGATGCTGAAGAGAGTATAGACAGGGATGGACGCAAACGTTAAAAGCGGAGTGGAAAATTGGTGTGCAAGTCGAACAGCGGAACACGAACATCAAAAGCAACAACCAAAGCGACCGATTAGAGAAAGAAGACAAATCAATCTGAGTGGGTCAGAAATCCGGGTTAGAATCACATTGCAGAGCAACCGAGGCTAAGAAGAACCTCATGTATTACATGTTCGCGCAGCAGTTATTGTATACCAACGAAAAGGAATACAGTGGGTGAACAAGGGAAGGCGATGGCATCAGCAGTACGCCGGTACGCAATGCGGACGATTCGCTGCCGAGTAACCCCAACTAGTCGCACGCGAGCAACAGATACTGCGAGGGTCCTCGTCCCTATGCCGGCTCGAACCTGCGTCCTCGGAGTACAATGCAGGCTTGTGATCCCTAAGACTACGGGCTGGCACACAAGAAAAGATGAGATAGCGTACGGCCTCAAGGTCGCGTATCCATAAATGTTACACGAGTTCAAGCTCCAAGGTAGAGAGTACGCTTACCTACCGTTTATTTGGATAGGCAACTCCGGCCCAACCAAATAAATGGTTAGAGACCCTAGCTGACGTGTAGATGTCGTGGAGTCTGTAACACTTCAATGTTCGATCTCGCAATCAGCGGTTGACCTTATGATGGAATAATAAATGCCAGCCATGTTCCTGATTTTCTTGGTAAAGCTGCTTCGACTCCATAGTCGTGAGTAGTAGCGCGGCGATGCTAGTTATGGTGAGTGGATTCGCTGCGCTTCACTGCCTAATGGAGCCAAAATAAACGGATAAAGTGCCTGACAACTGACACAACCAAAGAAACGTGAAACATGACCACAGGGTGATCAGGCGCACAAACATAGGTTTTGTAGCACAGTGACGGATAACCCTAACGCTGAAACGAGCCGCCATCGGCAAACGATTACATAATCCATCCAAAGAATAGAAACGGTTTCGACACATTGTCCGACTTCGATCACAATCCAACCCACATCGGTTTTCATTGGTTTCATGTGAGAAAAGCAATAGCCACTTGATTAGGGCAGTTATGGGCTACAAGCTGCAGCAGACGACATGCGCTGCCGAACAGTGTTCTCACAGACATACGGATGAGATAAGTAATACAATGCGGCAATGCACCAGATGTAAGTGCATTTGTGCGTTAATATAAGCGAGTAAAAAAGCACTCGGCATAACTGACGAAGCTGTTGCCCACAAGCTCCTCCGTGTACTCAGAAAAATAAAAATAAGACGATTCGTGAATTCAAGGTAGGTCTGCGGGCCAATTCAAAAGATGCCTCAGCACGCAACGTGAATAACTGCCAAAATTCGACAGTCTATCCACTTATTAGAATCAACAGTCTTCCTAGTGTTACTGTCAAAATAGCGATAACCGAAAACTGCTTCACAACAAAGAAGTCAGTCTGGTTTCAGTGGTAATGCATCCGCAAAGGCATCTGAACAAACTGTGCAAATGTTGACCACAACCAACAATAAAAGCGTAAAAGCAACAGAGTAGCATACAAACAAAATGGCTTGGCCAATATCGTTTGTTAGGTTTGATTAAACTGTTGTAACCCGGGCACTAAAGTGTGCTGTGTCCAGTTGCCACGATTCATGTCACCAGATTTGCAATAGATAACAACGGAGAGGAAATGAAGATGAACGCAGGCTGTATACGAAGAAAGCGAAGTCAAGAAAGAAATGCGGGAAACTAAACTGGATGGCAAAATGCAAGAAACCGAATGCAAGAGAGACATTGGCTTTGCTGCTGCGCCGTATAAAGTCACACAAAACAAATGTGTGTCAAATCAAATTCTTCATAAAAGAACACGGCACATGGAGGAACGTACAAACGAAGGCGTCCAGAAAGCACACGGCGGAACAGCATTAGAGAACATTCGAGTAACGCACCAGAAGGCATCTTGCCAAAAGTTAACCGACGGAACACAGCATTGCTCACCCGGTGTGCTCACTACATGCGAGCAACGCTCCGCTAACACCCATGATCAAACACGGCCAAGTACTTAATGTCTTCACTGCGAACTGGTTAACTATCTGATCCGCATAGTAACATCCGCCGTGTCGCAGCGTTATACACCCTACCTTCCATTGACTGCCTAATATCCCACCGTCTCCATAAATGATTGAGTACCTGAAAAGCCACACTGGCCTCGCAGACAAGCAAAGTGACATCCTCATTGATTTAACCCAACACTTCAAGTGGTTATTCAGTGATAGCGACAATGGTGGCTGGTCGGACCAGCGCTGAATCAACACCTTACGATTTGGAGGTGCAAAGCACATGCCGATGCGTGCAGCGTACACATCAGTCTGTTCAATAGTGTTTGCATAGCCATTGCTTAACACCCAAGTACAGCCACATACCCCGCATACTCAGGGTTGGTTGGACGATCATCCAGTAGAACTTTCACTCAGCATAAGTCTGAAAAAACTGAGTTACTTATGATTAAATCGATTACGAAGCCGAAGGATAGGAGATACACGATGACTCTGATGAACCCTACTTGTCGTAGGGAATACAAGACATAGGTTCTCGTAGAATCTTGCCCGATCTCGTGAGTCATCGCAAACGGACTTCAATATGAAAAGAAGCTATCCAGGTACTCCCCACATGAGTAGGCAGTGCCACAAGCTGGCAAAACCAATGTATTCAAAGGCAGCTTTCAGGTCAAGAGAAACCACTATGGTCGGTCGGTCGCAAGTGTGTTTCTGCTCCACACTTGTGGAAGAGTAAATATATGGTCCATACTACCATAACCAGGTCCAAAGCCAGCCTGGTTTCTAATTATTCGACTCCTACGATGACCAATAGGCCGTCGAAAAATGGTAACAATGATGAGTTTGGAGGCAACGGAAATAAGGCTAGCACCCAGGGGAACTGCACGCAATGTTCGCTGATTTTCTCTGAAGATGCACACGACATCTAAGAACCACGAGTCGGAAGAAACCCATTCGGAGTCCCAAATAGTATCATATGGAGGAACAAGTCTAGTCAACAAACAGCCACCTCCATTTTTAGCGAAGGGTAAGAAGTCGTCGGACAAAAAAGCCTTGCTTCGTTTCAACCAGGCAAACACGTGTCGAATCTACTCCAAAGTTGGTGGTGAGATACCGACTTCACACGTCGGCTCATGTGATCCAGTAAATGGCAATGTTGCAACAAACATGCTGAAATGCTCTTCTAAAAGTTACACCAAACAAGCTACTCGACGATGCTCAGAATGGATAATGTGTCTAACTTTTGCTGCCGTTGTCCCAGTAACCGAAGGCTTTCATGGACCCGTATCCCGGATGAACTGGAACAGTGCTCAGCTGTTCCCAAGATCACTGGATTTTTCCATCTCACGTGTTCTTGCCACCCCCAGCGTTCTTGGTTGATTCGAAAACTCCTCTTTAGTCGTCGTTTCAGAGCCTTTGCAAGCACCCTGACACACAGTACTATACGCCTTGCTTAGGCTAGGTACTATACGCCTTGCTTAGGCTAGGTACTATACGACTCGCTTAGGCTACTCAAATCCCACAGATGAACTGATATTTGGGATTCATCAAATTGGGCGTACGGCATGCGTAAAAGCCATCTCTCACGGCACAATTGAGAGGATTCCAGTCAGCGTTGGGCTCACAAGCCTAATATGCTACTTACAAACAAGTGGCCAGTTCGTCATGCTATTGTTGAACTGCAGACTGCGAGTTCAAGTGACAAGTAAGGTGATTAGTAATCAAGTACTTCGTAGGATCATAAAGCAAAGATGTGCACTCCAGAGCTTATTTGGGTTCAAGGTTCGTGCTCCGGACCTTGAACGGATGTGTATCAGCGGTAGATAATAGCAACATGGCCAATCTGGTTCCAAGTCGCCAGGTGACATGATGTAAATGTCAGTGATGGAAAGCAGTGTGTTGATTGTGGACGGAAGCTAGTTTCGAAAAGCAATCCCCATAGTCTGTTCGAACTGCAAGGACTCCCAAAAGGAGTCCAACGCGTTGATCAGAGTCAGACAGGCGACCCACCTGGACATTCATGTCACCAGCAACGATCATGACATCAATACTTTTCGCCAAATGCAAAAGGGCTGGCATCAAGCCAAAGAAACCGTCTTTCATATCCATAGACATATCATCAGCCTGTTCGTTGAGGGTGATAAAAACACCGTAAATACCTTGAGCCATCGACTCAGTATGGCTAGAGATGTAGTGGGTTTAATCAGTAGCAGCCGTTTCGAAACCAGGGAATCAAATATTCGTCACGACGTTGGTATCTTGTATGCATGTTTCAGAGGCCGCACACAATAACACCAGGAGAGTGAAGAGCGAGAGCCAGTGCTGCCTGTTGACCGATCTGACCCAGAGTGCGGACATTAAAATAACCAAGGTGAAATGAGACTTGGTTCGATGGACGAGCTAAATGTATCGATGGAAGCAGCTGTAAGATCAGCGGCAATGTCTTGCTTCCCAAACGGGGTAGAGATAAAAATCAGAAGAGCGAGCATTGTCGACAGGGTCGAGAGAGCAGATGATGCCCTCTGGTTGCCTATTCCGGGAGAGGTTTTGCTCTAAGTGCCCTACGCCTAGCCTTTGATTCAACGATCTGACCCACATGGATTTTCGATCCAGAGATCCCATCGGGAGTCTTCGGCTTAACAGCCTGACCCACAAGGCGATGGGGAGGAAGTTCAACTAGGGAATGTGAATGCAAAAGTCCCTAGGAAAATTGCATGACACACACAGTATTTGAAGGCAGGAAAATTAACCGGCGACCACGGTCAACCGCTGGTGTGAGTTGACTGGTTTTCACAAATTTGACCAAGGACTGCCTGGTTTTAGGAGAGTGGTACTGAAACCCTTGAGCATCGAGCGTTACTCTCCCATCGTCAGAGACAATGCGTGC